GGTCGTATTTTGGCGCCCCAGCTGCCGGAATATTACCGTTGTTTTAGAATGTTTTTTTTTTTTAACAGTGTAGTCTAAACACCAGTGTTACACAGACATTCAGTAGCCACGTTGCAGAGGTTATTCTCTTCTCAGCTCCAGCGAGGCTGTGACCTTGCCCTACTCCCTTCTAGTAAGTTTCCACTGGCAGATGTTTCCTGTTTTTCCTGTTTTCATTTCCTGCAGACAAATGTGGGTGTGAGTCTCCAGCTAAAGGACACTCAGTCTAAGGCCTTCATTTTCAGGGCTGCGTCCATTCAATACTACACTATATAATTATATGACACTTATTAATATAAAGCATAGCATTGAGGCACTTCAGGTATTTTAAGAGGGGGCAAACACTTTTTCACACAGGGCCATGTAGGTTTGGATTTTTCCCCTTCATAACAAACACCTTCATTTAGAAACAGAATTTTGTGTTTGCTTGTGTTCTCTTTGCAAAATACTTAAATTTGTTTGATGATCTGAAACATTAAAGTGTGACAGGCACATAAAAATTGAATTTTTGTGATTTTTCCACTCCACTCTATAGTTCACTGAGTTCTGCTGTGGAAACATGACTTTCTTGTAAATCAGCTGTTTTAACATATATTACTGAGGCTCCCATGAAGACTCGCTGATTGGTTCATTCGTTCTTATCTTGGGTGGAGCTTTTTCTTGTGACTAACTACAAAAGCTCAAAGCGAAACTGCAACTGCTCCCATTGTTACTGACTGCAGTGTGCTGCTCTCTTCACTTTCAGCGTCAGCAGGAATCTAGTGTAAGTTATTTTAATTTATCTCATGAATTAAGCTAAAGTCACTTTCTTTCTATTTCTATTCTTTTATTTTTCCCCGCCTAACCCATTTGGTTGTTTTGCCATCAGAATTATTGTCTAAAGGCTGAGAAAGATGCCCAACGGGTTTACTTTACCAAGTGGACCATCCTGGCCACACCATATTGGTCTATTTGATTGTTTTTATTGTTTACTTTATTTTATTTTCAGTTGCTACATGACTGGGGGAAAGGAAAGGGAGAAAGAAAAAGAGGGAGGGAAAGAAAAACAGTGGGGAAGAGGAACGGTGATAAGGGGGGGGGGGGCAAAAAATAAATATATGTATCAATCACCTGGATTACCTGTTGAGAAAAAAGAAAAGAGAAAACAAGCAAAAAAGAGAGCAACATAATAACCAACATCATCGTGATAATCTATGTGAATATAACAGTAAATACTAAATATTAAACATTATTGTGCAGCACGTAAGATCGACAG